TACCCTCATCATCTTCCTCTTTAACCCGACATGCGTCAATTAGCATGGCCAACCAAGACGCTGCCACTGGTTCGCTGCTGTTCTTTCTTTCGTACACTTCTGCATGGCTGCCGAATCGAAGATTTAAAAAAGTAGAAATACAACATGAAAAATCAAATTATTTACATAAGTCTTTCTTTTAGTCATTAGTCACTAAAAATGGATCTAGATGTTTAAAAAAAATCACTGCATCCAACAATAACAGTATTTATTTTTAAGGATGCACCGATCCACTTTTTTTCACTTTTGATACAGATATCTGAGATGTAGCGTCAGCTGGTACAGAAAATCAGTGCTGAATTGACGTAAAACGTTTCTTTTCTTTAAACGCAGACATAAATGTACTGGATTACAGGTTGCAGCAGTTCGGCACACATAAATACACGAGTAGCTTCACAAGCTTGGTCAAGCATGTTAAAACAACACAACTTTAATGTGTTCAGTAGGAGCAGAACAGCCAATGTAAAATAAATAATAAAGAAACAGAAACGGACAAAAACAATAAGGTGACTGGTCAAACATGTAAAAACAAAAATGTAATATCAGTACTGGAATTATTACAGATGTCAATGTCAGGTCGGTGCATCTGTAGTTACTTTTTTAGTCTAAACAAAACAAAAGTTTAAACAAAAGCTCATTTAACCTGTTTAGTTACATAACTTTAAATTCAACCCAACTTGTATTCTTAATTAAAGTTTGAATCCTCTTGAATGATCTGAGCGTGTCTTTGTTGCATCAAGAGTGGGTTTCCTCAGCTGCATCAGCCGGAGGTTAACAGTAGGATGAGGAGGAGAGGCGAAGGAAATAAAAGGATGCTATTGAATGGGCATCCACACTCTGATCTTGTGATTTCCATGCACACATGGTAATAAGGTCATATCTTAGCTGAGGAATGACTTGGGTTTTGCTCACAGGCATCATGCACACACCGTTTTCCCAGTAAATACCTCAGGACATTCATTTTTATGTATTGGAATGCATTTATTCGCTTTCTTTATGTGAAAGCTGTTGCTTCAAAAATGACCCAAACGATTCCAAAAAAAATAATGCGGATGGAATTTTATGCTAAAAGAAATGCACACAACTCATACAGCAATAACATGTAAGAATATGAAGTAAAATTTAAAAAGTTCTGAGAAGAAACTAATGCAAACAGAGCCTCACAGAAAGGGGGTGGACCCAGACCACTGACTCCTCAGTGATGTCAGACGTGAGAACAGATTTTATGGTAATTCAGGTTCAGGATCCATCTTAAAACCAGTGAGGGAGGCGTTTGTGGGTCCTGTTTGGGAGTCGTGTTGGGATTCAGGACGACAGGGTGAGGATCTGGGCTCAGAGAAAAAAAAACCCAAAAACTACAAAAGCAGGGATGAAGACTCTGGTGCTACTCCTACTGGCTTTCACATCAGCCGTGGCGATTAGTGAGTATACCTGAAATTAAAGACGACAAAACGTATGCAAGTATTTCTGCGTGATTCTTTATTTTTTCGTTTTGTTTGCTCATGGTTTCTAACAACACATCATTCTGTTCAATTCACTGTTAGTTTTTTATGGCTTGGACCTGTAATCGAACAGCAAACAGACTGACTTCTTATTTCACGCTTGTTTCACGGTAACACAAGTTGCACTTTGTTTAAAAGTGAGAGGATAGATAAACATTTATATACCAATTTTATGACATTAGAAGATTTCCTTTCGATTTAAATCTGGATTTATGAATAATTTCTGTGTCCTGTAACCCATCAAAACTGTGATGAATCTGAGAAATGACCTTCATGTTAATGAAAGATAATGTAAAAGTCACTTGTTATATTTTTTTAAAGAGAGTTTTGTTTATCTGAAAATATAGAGGAGTTCAAGGAGCTAACCTCATAGAATACATAAATAAGAAATGATGCACAAAACTCCATTCTCTCTGCTCATAGACAAACAGGAAGATATTTAATGCACATCTGCAGATTCACATATCACATTTTCATCGTCTCAGAATCCAAAATGTCTTGTCTCTTACTTCTGACATCAGGTTTTTATACCATTCCAGCCCTACTGTTGTGTATTGGAAAGCTTTTGACCAATGGCGTTACCGAACCTCGCTTGCATAGCAATTCTGGCTCCGTCTTACACTGGATGTGTGTTGGAAGTTCTGAGAATTAGGGGTTGACCTCGTGGAAGTTAAATCTGCTCCATCAGAAGAACTATTAGTCAAGTTGTTGGTTCCTTATCTGTCCAAATAAAGATTATTTCCCAGTCCTAGCCGACTTTCTTGCACGCAAGCAGGAAAGATGTTTGCCAAAGGTTTCTTGCACAACAACTTAACCTTTCCCTCTTTGGTGATTGTTTTTTCCACATTTCTCCAATCTGAATTTCTTTCTGACTTCTAGATCAGATTGACACAGTATATTTCTTTTCAGTCAAAACATATCTTAATGTGAATCAACCAACAACATGACTTTTAACTTAATATAATTATATTCCTCTACAAAAACTAGTAGTTTGGAACAGGTTTGGATAAAAGTGTGACTGGGGGCCCTCATACCTCACACTGGGATTACTGGTGCTGCTCCTGCTCAGCTGAAAGTCACATGAAAGGGATTGAGGGGGATTGTGGGTCATGTGACTCCCGCTTCTGAGAACCCTCACCTTCATCTCGACCACCAATGAAACATCTTATTTCGTTACCTCATCGTCACTTTAAATACTTTCTGGATAACTGTCTTTCCTTTAGACGTTGCTTCCTTAGATTGTCGTTGTTGAGGGGATTTTTTTTAATAAATTATTGATACTTTTGCAGGACAAAGAAGCAAGTTCACACGTTTCAAGTCCTGGAACTCTCGGATTTATCCGGTGTGGCAAGATGGAGACGCAAGGTTCAGAAACTGTTGGTCCGGTGAGACCCACTTAGCTCCTCTCTCCTTAAATACTGTCCATCCATCCATCCATCCATGTTAGGCACTCCTTAGATTTTAATACATAGTTTAATATATTTATGTTTTACAGGTGGTAACGTGACCTTTGACCTTAAAAACGATGCGCCCACCCTGACGGGAGCAAAAGCAACTTTCACCATCAACCTTAACTTCCCCCCTAACCAGACGGTGCTGCCTGACGGACAGGTGGTGTGGGCGCGCAACTGCACCGTTAACGGTGAGAGAGGCAAATAAAAATAGTTGTGATGCTGTTAATAGGATCAAAATTCAATTATGTAGAGTTTATTATGTCTGGTGTTGTGATTGTGTGGTGAATGTGGCGGCTGTTGTTGCTCAGGCCGTGAGTATCAGGAGGGCCAGGCCGTTTATCCGGACAGAGGCGACGAGTGGACCGGAGTTTTCCCTGACGGCTCGCCTTTCAACAGGAGTCAGATCAGGAAACCACGCTACGTGTTTGTGTGGAAGACGTTGGGTAAATCACCATGAGTCTGCTGGAAACAGAGATTAGCTTTTATTTATTGTGCTCTTCTTGTGATGAATCTTCTGTAGTACAACTTTAAATCTTTAAAAGTCAAATTGTTTTCCTTCCTTCTACTTTAAAATGTTTAATCTCCACCAGGAAAATAGGAAAATATTTACGATAATATTCAGCTCTGGAAAAATGAAGAGCCCACTGCACTGAACCCCGTTGAAAACCTCATGGGTTTTTTTCCACCAAATATTGATTTCTGAACTCTTACTGAGTTAAAACATTAGTGCTGTTGTTTCTATATGAACTTGTTTTCTTGAGGTCTGAAAGCACTGCATCTTTTGACGGTTTCTCATTTCCTGAAAATAAATAATAATTTTTTGTTTGGAAGTTCAGAGACATGTTGTCAGTAGTTCATAGAATAAAAGAAAAATGTTCATTTTGCTCAAACATATAAAAGTAAATCAGATAAACTGATCATTTTGTTTCTTATTTCTTTCCAGAGTTGTATCTTGTTTCAGGATTTTTCTTTAGGCTTACAAATCTTATGAAATAAATTAGGTTAAATTTGAAAACACAATTTTTTTATCCCTTTCAGTGAAAATGCAGCTCCAGCTTTAATGGAGCAAAAAAAGATTTTTCACTCTTATTTAAAATATAATTTAATGACATCAATACAGAGTGCTGTGAAAGTTTAAATCAACTCTTGTAATACTTTGTTTGTAAGGAGCCCAACATTCTTATAAACTTTTAAAGTGATCTCTGGGTTGCTTTGGATTGTCCCCATTTTTATCTTTGTATTTCAGGGCGTTACTGGCAGGTGGCAGATGGACCGTCCTCCTCCCTCACCATTGGGACGGACGACATCCCACTGGGTTCCTACAACATGGAGCTGGTCATCTACCACCGGCGTGGGAGAGACAGGTTCATCCCCCTCGGCTACGCCTCGTCAGCCTTCACCATCACAGGTTCTTCAGAACAATTTCCACAATCTACTGCATATGTATAAATAATAAATACTACCAACCTGTGTAACATAATGTCTCTAAATGCTTTACTTTGTCTTTAGACCAGGTTCCATTCAGTCTATCCCTTTCTCAAGTCAATGATGTCAATCAAAATGACCAGAACTTCATCCAGAACCAAGCCATCGCCTTCACTGTAGCGCTCCACGATCCCAGCCAGTACCTGAACAGCGCCGACATCAGGTTCACCTGGGACTTTGGGGACAACAGCGGGACGCTCATCTCCAGAGAGCACACCGTCACACACACATACCTGTCAGTAGGAGCCTTCAGACCTCAAGTGGTTCTGATGGCGAGCATTCCCTGTGGAAACCCCACAGCTGGTAAGACCTTACTCTCATCATGTAGCGGAGCGGTAATATGTAAAATCAACTTTTTAAAACTTTACATCATGAATTAAAGTTATGCAATGTTGCTTTAATTTTTTCAAGCATGTTTCAGAAATCATTTAATCTCTGGCAGCCTTTCAGGACGCTTGCTCTCACAAACACTTGCTCCTCCAAACCGAGCTTCTGCCTCCCCTGTGACTCCCCCACTCAGCTCCTCTAGACTAGCGGTAGCAGCAATTAACAAACATCTGCTGAACTCAGCCCAGAATGGTTGTAAACGGCATAATGAGAAGCGTTGCTGTGCTGAAGGTGGAGTGTCTGAAAGAGCAGGAGCTTCTTAAAGATACAGAGGCCCAATTTCAAGACCTTAACTTGCAAAGTCAAATTTCTTTAAAATGATATTTGATGTGCAGCATTTTTTATCACAACTGAAGGTAACAAAGTTCCTTGTTTGTGTTTTTCAATGGGACTATTTGCCTGGAAAAGACATATTGGTGCCTCTTTAAAGGGTGAACATACATGTGTGTCTTATTTTAAAGATAACTGGATTTGCACTTTTCCTTCCAGTTGCTCCCATCAATGACCCTGCTGGTCCAGCTGTAGTCGTTGTGACCTCCTCTCCTGCACCACCTGCTGCAGCCGAAGGTGAGGATGCTACAGCTCTGGATGTTACTGCGGCTGATGCCACTCCTCTCGACACCGCTGATGATGAAGAAGCAGCCGCTGATGCCGACACCGTGGCCACGGAGGCTGCCTCCGTGGCTCCAGCAGGAGTAGATGCCGCTGTTGTTCCAGCAGAGCAGGATCCTGCCGACACAGGCGATGCTGCTGCAGTGGAGACGGAGGCTGCAGCTGGAGAGGTGGCCACTGTTGCCCCTGCAGCGGAGGAACCGGTAGAGGTGGAAGCTGCTGCAGAAGATGCCGCTGAGGCAGCTGCGGAGGCTGTCCCCGCTGCTGCTGATGCTGCTGTCCCTGCCGCAGAAGGAGAAGAAGCTGCAGAGGTTGCTGATGCTCCCACTGTTGCACCTGTGGTTGACGCCGCTGTGCAGGAGGAAGCCAATGAGGCGGCTGAACCCGCCTCTGTGGCCCCAGAGGTTGTTCAAGACGGAACCGAAGTCCCTGCTGCTGCTGTTGACAACGTTGTCGCTGCCGCTGCTGCCACTGAGGCCACAGCAGCAGAAGAAGCCGCAGCTGACACTGAGGCTGAAGTTCAGGAAACCGAAAATGCAGCTGCAGCAACTGTGGCTGCTGCAGGTGATGACTTTCTGTAAATTCATACAACACAGATTAAAAAGTCGACCTGTGATCCATTATAGCACTGCAATAATAACCCCCTTTACTTTTCACTGGCGGAACAAGCAGCGGAAGCAGAAGCTGTTCCTGATGAGGGTGAAGTTCAAGCTGAGGTGGAGGCAGATCCAGCGCAGGTTGTCCTAGTTGTGGCCAAAAGGCAGGCCCCAGCAGAAAACTGCATAATCGACCGCTACGGCTCCCTCGCTACATCTGTAGATGTTGTTCGTAAGTCTCATCGTGCAGTTCAAAAGACACTACTGTGTTATTAATAACAAACTCAATAGTTTGTCCTTTGACCCTGCAGAGGGAATTGATAGTGTGGAGATTGTTCAGATGTCCAACGTCATATCAATGGCGACTGAACTGGACCAGAACGCCGTGGATGTCACCATTTCCTGTCAGGGAAGGTTGGTGCAAACTGTCAACACATAATTTAAAACACATAATAAATAATGCAGGTAATCATCCGTTTGTCTGTTTCAAACAGACAAATGGATGTCTTGTTGTTTACTTAAAAATGTGCAGTAGCTAAAAGATTAACAACATGAAAACTGGAAGTGTTACAATCATGACAACTAAAGCTTTCTTGCACACTTTTTAAGGTGTAATTTCTTGTTTAAAAATTAATATGTCAATGCTTTGAAAATGTATTCAAGGAACACTAGATACTCAGAGTAAACAAAGATAGATGGAGCTAAATAAAGGTCAAAGTGCAGATAGACGACTGAGCAACAACGTGATTTTGTTAGAATGGACCAATATAAGAGTTTAGAGTTAGAGTTAAAAAAAAAAAAAACTTGTAAATTTTTTTATTTTGGCAAAAAAATTCAGTCACTAAATTTGCAAAGTTGGCACATATCCACTCCAAAAGCAGAGGCATTGTTTTTTGTTTTAAATTCCCTTCTCATATCATAGCTATTGTTCTCAAAGTGTTTTTCCTCACACTTATTTTTCCGTAGCTTGCCCAGTGAAGTGTGCACGGTCATCTCTGATGCTGACTGTGTCACACCGGTTCAGACCGTCTGCGGCGCAGCCTCGCCCTCTCCAGACTGTCAGATGATCCTCCGCCAGTTCTTCAACGACACAGGCGTGTTCTGCCTCAACGTCTCCCTGATTAATGACGTCAGCCTGGCTGTGGCCAGCGCCAGAGTCAATGTGGCAGTGGGTGAGCATCAGGAAAAACCATAAGCCACTACTAAAATTACTTCTGAATGTTGTCTAATTTCATTTGTGAACTATGATTCAATTCGTTTCAGCCTCTGGTGGTTCCCCAGCTGGAACTGCAGCCACTGTACTGGGAGTTATGGTTCTCGCCTGTGTTGTTTGTTGTATTGGTTTGATGTACAGGTGAGTGATTAAGATCCAAAATGTATCAGACGACAATAATTATTCATTTATAGAGATTTTTTTCCCCCCCTTTGAACTAATTTAGGGGATGTCCTGATTAGTTTCTTTATTCAGAAAATACTTATTTACTTAAAGCCAGTTGAAGGAAATGCTAAGCTAATGTTAGCATGTTTTTATATGACTCATTGATAATTTGGCTTGCGGGCAAATGTTATTGTGTATCTAATTAATTTGTTTTCCTTTTACTGTTGCTACTTCTGCTGTGAACATGAGCAGAACAGATGACCTGACACAGACAGGCTGCAGCAGCCGATTCAGTCCCTCTGTCACTGTGAACATTATTGTAAAGGGTGACTATCACAGCAGCCATTTCCATGAACCACTATAATTTCCTACAGACAGTATTAGCCACTCCATTAAAAATACAATATAAAAACAGCTCTGGTATGGAGCTGGCACTTTCAATACTTAACATTATTAAACACAGCTGTGGTGTGTTTAAAATTGTCAAGTTTCACATAAGAAACAGGGGCGGAGTTTTGGGGGGGGCAGAGGGGCCCGGGCCTAGGGAGGGCCCGGATGGGAAGAAGACTATAACTTATGGAAGTCGAGACTTTATCACGTCTGATAAGAGCTGGAGAAGGCAGGCTCACTCCTGTTGGTTAAGGTGTTTGTAAAATTAAATAATATGTTATCCCAGTCATTGCTAAAACCTTTACAAGACCAACTGATTTTAGTGGTATAGTCGGTGTAAAATATCAAATAAAATGTATATTTATATTTACTCCTACATTTCACTTTATGACACGCAAAATTACAAGAGGATCGGCAATATTGTCTCCAAGTGTATTCTGAGTAAAAACTTGTTACCAGCGGCCCACCAACGTCATCATCGGTCTCTTGGCAACAGATGGCAAACTAGCTAGAGCGTTTTTACGGACTACGTTAGATTGAGTGGAGCTCCATGGAGCAGCAAAGTGAAAAGGATGGAGGAAAGAAAAGCCAAAAACTGGACGCATAGTTTGTCTTGGAGATGAACCGGACTTTCTTTGTGGAATCCAAATTTGCAAATTATTACACTGTGTCATGTTCTGTGTTTCTGTGTGTTTATTTTTGACATTTTCTGTGTTTAGTCCTGTTTCCCTGTGAGTTTCTGTCCTACCCTCCCCGTTGATTGATCCCAGCTGTGTCTCGTTCATGTGATTTAAGGGCTTCCATTTGTATAAAAAATAAGTAGAAGTCATATGTGTAGATGTGTCGTTGTATGTGTCGTTGGTCTATGTCGTTGGTATATGTTGCATGTAGATGATGCATATGTAGATGTTGCATATGTCTATGTTGCATATGCGTTCGCTGCATATGTGTTTGCTGAATATGTAGATGTTGCATATGTCTATGTTTTATATGTAGATGTGATTACCCTCCCAGTGTATTTAGTCTCACCTGTTGTCTGTGTTCCTTGTCGGATCCTTGTCTAAGTTTGTCTATTGTACGTCAACGTCGTCTTTGTTAGTCCGCCCGCACAGTTGAACTGTGAAGTCCTGTGCTGGCATTAGCTCATCGTGTCAGTCTTTGTTGTCAGTGCTACCGGTATTTAGCTGCGTGCTAACTTCAGTGCCGTGCCGCCTGTTTTTGGACTATTTGAGCTTCTTTACCATTAAATCCTTCATCTTAATCACAACCTGGGTCTCAGCGTCCTCTCCTCACCACAACCACATCATTCCTGACACACTGGTGTTCAACTGTGGTAATATTCAATATTACTACATTTACTGTTACATTGTCTGATGTATTATAATATACTTTTTTAAATACAGAGGAAGTGAAATGTAAAGAATAGTTTTGCTGAAAAAAACAAAACAAATTACCATTAATAGTGTATAGACAAGACTTAAAAAAGTAACACCAAACCTTCTCCTGCTAAGACCTGATTCAGGACTCTGTTCACTCACACATGGAGCTGCTTTACTAACAGCACACAATACAGGAAGAAATATCTCTCTTTATTTTTATTCTATTTTTTTCACACATGAACCGACATTGCCTGTGTTTCTGAACAGACGGTTCAAGCAGTACCAGCCGCTGATGGAGGAGCGCGGTGCCGGTACCGGCGGCAGCTTCGTGACGTCGGTGCCGCTGCTGCTGTGGAACCTGCTGAGCCGACAGTCACCGGGCGAAAGCCGCCCGTTGCTTCAGGGAAGGATTGTCTAAAAACGATCACCAGTTCATGTACCCGACATGTACATACTGTGCTAACACGCAGGCCTCATATATGTGACACCAGTTAGTAAATCATCTGTAAAAAAAAAAAAAAAAAACTAAACAAAAGAGAAACACTTCAAATTTTATGGACCCATCTTCATGAATAACAATCCGGTGTCTTTTCTGTAATATGGAAAGTTATTTATTTGTCCTGCAACATCTTATAAATGTCACTTGTAGTTAAAACAAGAAGTTTAATCTGTGGCCTACTTATTTTAACCTGCTAACAAATCAGTTTTTATTAATTTTACTTCAAAGTAAACAAAGTTTGTTACAGAAAGTGTTATCTGTGCCACCCCAAAGCTAATAAAAATTAAAGTTTGTCACCATTATTTGTTTCTTTAATGCTTTTTAATTAAATTTCTGTCTAAATTGATGGCTTAGAAAAATCACACCTGAAAGGAGTAATGGGGCTTTACCTCACATCAAAGTCTTACTATTGAAATTTTACAACCAGACTCTTGCGACTAGGATTTATTTAGAAGAGCGCTCACAGTGCTGCAAGCAACAAACTAGTTCAATTTGTGAAATGATAAATAGCCTTTCACTCATGATTACACAAATGTGGATTAGTTTTTACATTGACTGATGCAGAGCAGAACTAAAATCAATGGGAACAGGATCAACTAGCATCAATTTGAAGTTGAATTCAAGCCTGGAAAAAGTAAGGAAACCCTAAAAGCTCACTGATCCTTTTCTCTGGATTCTTGGTCTAAATATATGCATTTTTTTTTTTCAAGAATTGTTTTGGCTCTAGTGACCTTTATTTGATAGTTAATTGACCGGAAAGTGGGTAATGAGAGAAGGGGGAAGACATGCAGCAAAGGTCGCCAAGGCCGGAAATCAAACCTGCGACAGCTGCGTCGAGGACTAAGGCCTCCATATGTGGGTTGTGGTTAACCCCTGCGCCACCACAGCACACCAAAAACATATTTAGCAGAGCTGTCCTCAGAGGACAGGTAGTGAGTTAAGTCCAAGCAATTTGACATCACAGATGTGCAGTATTTGAATCATTTCCATAATGGCAGCTAATTACATCCAACAACATGCAACATTTACCCAGAATGCTCAATAACAAAAAAACAAAAGAAATCCTATAAAACAAATAGCTGCCCAATGGTTGCTATATGCTAAAAGAAACGTTATCTCTTATTTTTGAAAAAGAAAATTGGAGTTTTAAACTGAAACTTTTCTAACCTGCTGTAGCAGATAGCTGTGCTGCAAGACTAGTTTTTTTGTAGCTTTTCAATAATAACAAGTATATATTATTATTATTTTTTTTTTTTAAGCCCCTTTACTTGCTTTGGGCTTCATGTCTCTTTAAGCTGTAATATCCATCAGTCATCACTAGAGGGGAAGAGTGTCTTCATTCTTGTTTGTCAAACAAAGAAGTATAACGTTATGATTTAAAATTATCTATAAAATGTTTTTATCTTTAAAGAGTTTTTTATATACATTTTTTAATTGAATTATCTATTTAACTGTACTGAATTCTGTTGTTTTGCTGTGATCTGTGGTAGAAGATCTGCATGGATTTTATGACACACTAAGTAAATATTTATTGATACTAAATGAGAAATGCATTTACTTTTTACCATTCCATATAAAAACATGTGAAAAATGTATTAAACTATGTATAAAACAGCATCAGGGTAATGTTTTCTACATATTAGGCCTATACTTCACCACAGTAACTCTTGGTGTTTTAAAGCATCAAATTACTAAAAATACTTTTATTTCACAATAAGTAAATTAAAAAGAAGTTAAAATATAGTATTTTTAACAATATTGTAAGGAATTACACAATTAGCAGTAAGATATTAAGCAGGAACTAGTTTAATGGAGAATCATTGCACTTAAAAGGTTATTTGAGCTGAATGTGCAATAAAATATTTCTTACTGTGATCTGTTATTGACTTTAAGCAGATTTATGATAATGTTATAGACCACTTATAGCTTATAGAGCAACAATGCACAATGTCCGATGACACACTGCAGTGCAGGAATAAAACTGACGTCACTGCAGCAAAATATTTAATGGAAGCAGCTTTGGCCTCGGCTCACTGGTGGAAACAAAGAAGCAGAGCAACAAGGAAGTAAAAACTGATTTTTCACAACATAAATTTAAAAGAAAATTAGGTATTTTTACCTTTTCAATCATGTTGTCTTATCATTTATTTTCAAATTTTCCAGGTAGGAAGGGTTTCAGTAATAATATCATAAGAGATGAATCACTTTACTCGATGTAAAGAAGCACTTATGTGTTATTAATGTGTTCAGTTTTCCTCTGTGTTCCTTCATTTCTTTTTACTTACAGTACACATGAATCTCCACTCAACATACTTGTGTAACCCTGCAATACTCCATTGCAGTAATTGTTAACAAGGCCATCCATCACTCTCAGCTATTACCATGTCTCTCTGCCATGCATGGATTAAAAACGGTTCAGCCGTCTCTGTTCACCTCTGACTCTACAACAGCCCTTCTGGGAGGACATCCTTTCTCTTCTCACAGATAGTAGATAATCTCTCCGCCTCAGCCAAAGCATCCATGCAGCTTTCAGTAGGTCAGTGTCACACAGAGCCGCTGTCATTAATAACAGGGCGAGCTGGAGCACAGAGGAAAGACTTAAAATGTGTTCTGTTGTTATTTGATTTACTTTTGGAAAATGTCGGGTTTCTGCAGCAGCCAAATTTGAGATGAGTCAGATAGAGGACATCTCCCCGGAAGCGCTCATTAATCAGAGTGACTTTTGCAGCTCGCCACTTCCTGGCAACAGATCTGAAAGGGATGTAATTACCTTCATCTGTCCCCAGCCCTGCAGAAACCTCCACTACAATGGAGCCCGGAGCAGCACTGCTTCAAAAGTATTCATACCCTTTAAACTTTTCCAAAAACCTCAGGTTATGCCACGGAAATATAATGTGCTCAAATAACACAAAGCATCAAGTGGAGGGAAATGATATTTGTTCATGTTTCTATGATACCAGAGTAACTATTTATAGTTACTCATTTTTTAAAAAAAAAAAAAACATTTAAGAGTAAGGAGTACTTTTTACTTAAAAAGTACTTTTTTACTGTTAAGCATCTTCTCTCTTACTTGAGTCAAATATCTGGATTCTCTACCCACTGAATGAAAAACAAACATGTTTTCACCAAAAATTTACTGGACAAAGACACAGACCAAGTTCCATTTGTTTATTTATTGAAAGAAACTGATTTTGAAAAAAATAATCTTTTGCCTGATTTTATTATTTTTTTTGTTGCACATATGTATTATTACCATTTTGGTACTTAAAATTCCAAAATTTCCATTTAATTTTATATTGTGATCTGTCTGATGATGTAATTTTTAAATATTAAGTAATTGATAATTTGATCAGTTACTCAGTATTTGAGTATATTTTTACCAAATACTTTTTCCACCCTTACTTTAGTAATTTATTGAATGGCTACTTTTTACTTTTACTAGAGTAAAAATATTTTTGAAGTAGTGCTACTTTTACTTGAGCAAAATTTTAAAACATGATTGCCGTAAATAAAACCCAACATAACCACCTGCCTTATCATGAAATTAACATTGTGAGTAGTCAAACATGTAAAGTATACATACACTCTTCATGGACATAAATATCGCATATATTTTAGGCTAAAATCAGCCTTTTTCAAACTGTGGTTTGAAAAAAACTGTGGTTTCCTGTCCACTGGTGTTCCGCGGACGCCCCCTTGTGGTCGGCGGGATACTGCACGTAAACAGCCGTTTATTTGCCGTTACGTTAGCTCAAAATGCGAGGCTACAGTTAGCTTAGCAAAGGATTGTGCTTAAAAATAGTAATGGATAAACGGGTTAAGACCGGGTCACTAAAAAGAAATCCTGAAGATAGTGAAGCCTGAAGTTTCCCAGGGTGAGTTGCAGAACTTTTATTTGTTTTTCAACACCATTACGACACGTAACATACTACATGCATGCAGATCCCGGTCTGTGGCTGTGCTGAATACGGTATGACGGTGAAGCAGTGAACAGAGCTGAGCCCCACACGGACTTACTGCATCTTAACACCAAAAGTAAAATTATTTAAGTTGTACTATTTACTGGCTGAATGAAAATGTTTGCTTTTGCTAACGTAAGGCAAGTCTATTTTATTTTATTTTTATTATGCTTCTAAATTACAAATAGACGTAACTATCATTGGTGCAGACAACACTTGTAGTAAATAACTTTTTTTTTAAAGTTCCATATGTTTTCTATCATTGGAAAGCGTAGAATCTACACTTTCAGAAATGACCAGAGTAGACGTGTTCATGGTTTTATAGTGGCCAGTCACATTTACAAAACAGCCCCACCCTTCTCATTAGGAGGAACCAAGACAATGAGTTAGGGACTACTCTTTGAATTTCAAGTTGCATAGATGTTGTGTTACTGTATGAGGTAATTTCAGGTTGGGTGGTCCATGATTGTTTTTTAAATGGGTTAAGTGGTTCTTGACCTGAAATGTTTGAACTTTTCTATTGAAATATATTGAATGTGATTCAAGAGAACTGGCTACACAAGTTTGAATATCTTGTGAATTTTCTCTATCCAAATCGGGAATTGTGTATTCCTATATATAGAAATTCACTCACTAGTATTTGGAAAAATAGTCTGTTGGGAAGAAACCATGTGGTTTCAACAAAACTGTGGTACAACTCTGGTTAGAAATCTTCAGAATGGTAAAGCTTATTTAAATTAGTTTGCACTGAAGTCTTAAATTAGCAGGACATACATAGATGTATTATGACTGGGATTGCATCAACAAACTAGGAAAATGGAAAAGAGTAAAAGAAAAACACACAATACAACAAAAAAAGTCATGAAACAAAGTGGGAATAAAACCACATAGTATTCAACAAATACCTCTAGAAATTCTGACAGATTTAGGTTTGAATAATGATCTAGAAATTACATTTGCAAATCAACTTAAGTATCCAGGGTCACTGACGGCAGATGTAATCTTCCTTTGCATTTGACTCCCAATCCATTATTACAGAGAAATATTAAGTTTCATCTTTGCCCCACAATAAAATCTTCCTTTTATCTTACTTTACCTTGTGACTGATGTATCTAAATTTCTGTTTCTATATAAAACCTAACACACACACACACACTGTGTTCAGTGTATTGAAATGATCACAGATATTTCACCCGACCGTGTCAAATTACCTGAATTGGATTCCTGGCTCCTGTGGGATTTCTAAGACAAGCAGGGGGATCATTTGCTAATCGTGGCATCTGGCCGGGGTTGGTGTTAGTGACACAAACCACTAGGTTATTTTTTGTTGTTTTGCTTGCATG